GCATATATCGTATCGTGACCCCTCTGTCATGATATGTATCGTATCGTCAAATTCTTGCCAATACACAGCCCTAGTAATATCCGTAAATATGTTATCGGCCATAACAGCAATAATTAAATCGGATATTGATATCGGCTGAAATTTTCATATCGGTGCATCCCGACTCAAATGCACATATGACAGGTGTACTCTTCTTTAATAAAGATGAAAACAAAAACGCTTGACGTAAAAAAAAAAACACTTTAGTGAGCTGAAGTAAGACGTCTTAAGTGCAGATTACTGCTGGTTCTGGTAAAAGCTTGCTGTTGTTTATGTCTTCAATAAACTCCTCGTATTTGTAGCCCATCACATTGAAATGAGGATTAAGTCCAAAAGTGGAGAAATAGGCAGATATAGGGTTTTGATTTAAACATGCGCAAAACTTGTCAACATATAATGAATTAATGCCTTATCAACGTATCATTTCAGTGAACTGAATGGAATATAATACTAAAAACATTTTTGAAGTTTTTTTTAGCAGTAGCAACAAAAAACCTGATTTTGACGAAAAACGCCTTAAAATTTTGAATTTTTCCCTGTGAGCTAGCAATGTGTTTGTTTCTTTCCAACTGGGAAATCTTAATATACCATTTGAGGTTTCCTCTTTATATTGACAACAAAAATAATTCAATAAATTTACATAAAATTAGGATTCAGACCAAATATTAATGGGTTATTATAACCAACAAGACAAATTAAGGCATATCTCCAGATAAGCTTATGATATCAGAATGATCCAGGTATGAAAATGTAGCTTTTAAAGCAGGAATCTGAAAATGTAGTTAAGTCATTTTGACCAAATTTGATGATGGGTCACATTTATGGAGGATGTTGCTGTTTTAGGGACACGCACAGTTGATTTATTTTACTTTGGTAACAGCAGATACGGGGAGCAGCAGCGGCCAAAATACCTCAGAAACTCACCCAAATAAGYAATTTCTGTGAGATTCTGTGTTTTATACTGGATTCCATTATGTTTGGTCAATTCTGTGATTCTGTCCATGTTTTCTGCATGGTGGAAATCATAGGGCCCTAACCTGGTCTACCTGATGTCTCACTTGATGAGGTTCCAGCTGTTGATAAAAGAAAATCACTTTGAGACATCACTTGAAAAATGACCAGACTTTACTTTCAGTGTCATTGATTAATGTCTGAGAGGATTATCTAATAATGGTCTGTTGCAATTACTTTCTTTTAAATTGTTCTATTTGTACAATGCAAAGAAGTTAATTTAGCAAAAGAAAAAGGCACAAACATAAAGAAAAATTGTAAAATTCCCCCGGAGCTATTTAAAAGTTCTGAAATCAACTAGATCTCTATTTTTTCTCATTTTTGGCACAAGCCCTAATGTACACAGTGTGATTGTAGTGAAGTGTGCATGTTGTGCTGAAACTCCCACGTTGCGACGTGTTGCAGTGATTTTAGACTTGGTGTGAGATCTCCCGTTGTGTTGTGCTCCAACAGAAAGGCACCAGAGCTCCTCAGGCTGCAGGGAAGATCCACACCGACTTCGAGAAAGGCTTCATCATGGCCGAGGTCATGAAGTTCAGCGACTTTAAAGAGGAGGGCAGTGAAGGTGCAGTCAAGGTGAGTTTGTCCTGCTGCGCACGAATTTCTGTATATAAATGTTCCGATTTTAATCTGCTGATTTCTAATTCACTGTATCTGCTGTTCCACAGTCGGCTGGGAAGTACAGACAACAGGGAAGGAACTACATTGTGGAGGACGGCGACATTATCTTTTTCAAATTCAACACACCAAACGCACCAAAGAAGAAATAACGGGACCTTGTATTCGCCACAGGAACGTCTCGGCTGCAAAGAGCTGTGCTGCTGGTTTTCATACACCTCTGTAATTTAGAGGATAAACTTCCTTGGACTTTTTAGTTTGAACGCAAACAAATTCAAATCAAATATCAAATCAGTCAAATATTTGGACAATGTTCAACTCTTCATTCTGCTGAGAGGAAAACAAATGCAGCTCAAGTGAAAAAAGCAAACCTGTTCATTTGCCGCTGTTGGCTTGTTTTAATATGAAACAAACTTCTTTAATGTTTTCATCGTATTCGAAAGTAAAAATGACAAGAGGTGTTTCAATTTATTTTTAAGTATCTTGAATTTGTTAACAGGGTGTTGGATATCTAATGGCAGGCATGTTATTAAAGTACTAAATGAGTATTTAGGAGATGTTTTGCCACGTTCCCTCACTTTGTTACTCATTTCTTGCTGCATTATAAAGACATGGCTTRTTCTAAATAAATAAGTTCTCACTGACTTGTTTCATATTAAAAGAGAATGAGAGCATCACTCAGTGCAGGACGTCACTGAACTGTAGAGACGGGCCTTGCTCACATGTCCTGATCACACACCTGGACTGAGTTCATGTGCTTCTTTTTTTGGCTTGCACTGAGGTGGTTTACAAGAAAATAAATTAAACTTTGCATTCTAAACTCCATCCTACACAATGAAATGTGATTTATTGTGGATCAGACTAAGCTGCAATGTACAGTTTCAGCTCATCGCATATGTTAATGCCTTTATTTACTCTCCACCACCTCCTCAGCATCCTGGCTCATTGTGCACTAAAACTAAAATGTTTTACTTGAGGGGAACAATAATTAAATGTTACCCTCAAAAGACGCACGTCAATAAAAGGAGACATTTTCCTTTGTTTTACCATGGCAAATTACATTAAATGATAGCAAGCAGACAATAAAAAACGTTTATTGTACATTAAACATTTAAATCTGTTTTGAAGTGGTAAATTCTAAACTTTAAAATAGAAATACATAAACTTTACATATATTTGATTCTATTTTTTTTATTAGACAAATGCAAATCAAATAAATATATGCATATGAACCAGATCTGGTAAATTTACCATTAAGATTTACATAATGCAATCAAAGTTAATTTGCTAACACATAAAATGTATTGTAGACTTAACCATATTAGATTAGTTTACTCAAAAGTTACTCAAACAACGTCCGTTTGACGCCAAAACAAACTGCATTAATGCCTACCAAACAACAATGATCATCTATAACTTTATTTTCTTAAAAATAAAGAACATGGTACATTTTACATATTTAAATAGTGCTGTTTTCCATGTACCTTTGTTAGAATTTAAACAACTGCATTCCATCTCTGGATTCGCTCAACAAACAGGAAACGCACGTCCAATACAAAGTTTGATTGACATCTCAGTCAACCAATAACGTTAAGGGAGAATCCCCGCTCAGCCAATAGCCTTAGAGAAGAAAGGCGGGACGTCCTGTAATGTGATGCAAATTCGCCAGTCAAGCCTGTTAGTCCCACCTTTTTGTGTTTCCCGCACCGTCAATCAAAATAGAAAAAAAAATCGACCCGAATTCACCGATCAACACTAGCCCGCCTTTGATAAAATAATCATGTTCGGAGTTTTGTTGATGTGGTAATCCTTCCGCTTACTACCATTCACGCTATGACTGGTACGTAAACATTTGGCGCACCGAAGCTGCAACGAATCGGTGAGTTTGTGAAAGCTGCTGCGAAGCGAGCTGCGTCTTTTTATCATTAGCTGCGCTGCTAACTAGCTAGCTATGGTTAGCTAACGGAGCTAGCCTCAGAGTTGACAAAGTAAGCTGTCGATGTGGGCCGACATCTCCTCAGAACCTTCGCTTCACAGTTGAATTTCGCAGCCAAGCCGGCCTCTTTTTCGGCCCGGAGAGTTGGGATGCTTTGCGGTCTTTTCTGGCAGACGGGAGTTGAAGATAACAGAGTTTTGCTCAGTTTCCCCCCTCTCCCTGCTAGCGCCTGAGCAGCCTCTGAAACAAGGAGAAATGGCGTCCGCGGACGTGGACAGCAGTCAAAGCGAGTTTCTGCAAGCTGGCGGCGCGGCGGAAACACAGGTATCGCCCACCCCCGGCACTTTCTCACTCCGCTCGCCACCGGTTTCTTGTTGTGTTTTTGAGAGCGTGAAGTTCACACGTTTTAAAAATTTGATTGCAAGGGGTGAAAGCCGTACACTTCCTGTGTTCCCCTCAATAACGGCCACCCACTTTACCCCTGTAAAACCCGCCCATAGTGGGTAGGACGCTGGAGTCAGTCACTTGGGTCGGCTCGCAGCAGATAGCCGCAGCACCTTCGGCTTGGAGGATGCAGGGATGTTCAAACGAAGCAAGAGCAGCGTCCATAATCATAACWGTGGTGTTGTAATAGCTGCCCATCCCCCACTCTCTGCCATTTCTGAGCCTGCTATCTTGACTCTTGTTTGTTGGTAGCTGCTCCTGTCTCGTGACTGTCCATTCTCTCAAGCAGAGCTGCATGTTTTCCCAATGCTTGCTATAATAGATCACAGCAAACTCCCAGTTTACGTTGTTCCTCCTGAAGCTGAGATGAGTTACAGTCTCCTTGTGGGAGGAGTGATCTAATCTGAGTGTTGATTATACCTCCAGACAGATATGTCAGCCATTCAGCTGACGGCGTCGGACAGGTGGGAGGTGTTAACTCCAGTCTCAGCTGGGAAGGAGGATCAAGGAGTCGTCCACATTCCAAACTCCGGGATCGTCACTTCCAATGGGCAGTACGTGCTTCCACTTGGTAGTCTTCCCAGTCAGCCCATTTACGTTACAGCATCTGGGACTGAGGCTGCAGCAAATGGCGTGGCAGGCATTCAGTATCAGGTAAAAAAAAAGAAGAAAAAGTTCTAAACAAATTTGAGATTCCACAAGAGCCWGTATTTGCTTATTGATCGGCTTCACTTAACCTGTCCTCTAGGTCATCCCTCAAATCCAAAATGCAGATGGAACACTTGCAGGATTCTCAACACAAGGTCTGGAYGATGGTACAGGTCAGATTCAGCTTCTCCAGGATGGCAGCCAGGGCAGTATCGGCATCAGCTGCGCCACGACRGCAACCACGGACCTCCTGTCTCAGGCGGGGCAGGTTCAGTCGATCCAAGGAGTCTCGTTGGCGGGAGGTTCGGCRTACGCTGGCACCGTTCCCGTCGGGCTGCCCGGCAACATCACCTTCGTCCCTATAAACAGTGTGGATCTGGAGTCGCTCGGGCTGACCGGTGCTCAGACGGTACCCATCGCGACGGGGGTGACGCCCGAGGGCCAGCTGATAATGAGCAGCCAGGCCCTGGAGAGTCCGGGCCAGGACGATGTTTCCAAGCAGCCGCTGACGGTGAACAACCCCRGCTCCAACCACGAGCTCTACGTGCCAACCTCCTCCACCTCCTCCTCCAACTCCTCTCAGCTTCCTGAAACCATCGACGGCACAGGGGTTCTGACCCAGGCAACAGCTGTGTCTGCGGGCGTGTCCGATCCCTCCTCAGAAAACTTCAACTCCCACAACCACCTTCAGCAAATTCAGGTCTGCTTGCTTTTATTTAATATGCTCGTGTGCTTAAAAAGTGTTGGAGTGTAATTCTAGGATCAGTTTGATTATTTTAAGGACTAAAATATGACATCAGCTGGTTTTCTTCATGAAACGTTTAGGCTTCTGAGTTCTTTAAAAGTCAAGACGATCTGAGAAGGAAGAACCTTCAGTCACATTACTTTACATTATAAAATGTAAACTGTGTTAAGAATATATCCATTTTGTTGTTTGGTGTCGTGGTTTCATTTCTGATCCACTAATTTGTAAATTAGGTAAAAATTTTAGTTAAGACTTTTTTTTAAGTTTGCAGGACAAAAGCACTGTTCTTACACAGAATCATTGGGCCTCATGCAAAAACCGTTCGTACGCACAGATTTGTTCTTAAGTTGTGCGTACGAGTGATWTAGGAGAATTTGTGACATTCACCAATTTTCTCGTATTATAAGATTTTTTTCAAATACGAATAAAATTCACGAGTGGTCCAGACCTGTCGTATATTTTATTAGCAGTCAGTCTGCTGTTATCCAGACGGGTTTTCTTCACTAATAACTTTATATTTCGTTAGTTTGAAGATATTTTGCGTGTGCTATGATGCAGTTTACTTATGAAAATACATTTCCTCAATGGTATTTTTAATATGAAAAGAACTTCACTGAGTGAGAAATAGTGTTAAGAGCAGCAGACAGTTTGTTTCAGTCTCACTTTGCTCTGTTACTGCCGAGAGCCTGCAGGAGTCATGGGCGGGGTGTGTGGGGTGTGGGGTGGGGAGGTGTGCTCCTTGATGAGGAAACTCTGCTTAAAGTCATGTCCCAGGGGTGTTTCTGGTCCCAAAAGGCGTTTCTGGTCCCCATCTGTCATTTTGCTCCTCTGCATGGCAGCCTAAAAACACTGCAGGATTTCTCAAACATGCATGAATGAGTCAAAGCAAGGATTTGGGCATGTTTTTATGAGAGTATAACATTATAACATGATATAAAACTCAAAAAAGTAGATTTTACATGATATTGCCCTTTTAATGTTTTTCTTTGGCTTTTCCTATCTTAGATTTTGACAGACACAGCTGGAACAATTACAGGTGTAGAACATTTTGGTTTTTGGGTCATTTATCTGTATTCAGTTTATGGATGCAGAGTTCTCGTGTAATCGGATCTCCGGTGTTTACAGGTGCTCTCTCTGATGGTTACCAGTCAAAACAAAACTTAAAATAAACAAAAGCTTGGCTTGAATTCAAGGCTACGTTCACACTGCAGGCAAATCCGACCCAAATCAGATTTTTTTTGACCCATCTGACTCATATCCGATTTTTTAATGACAGTCTGAACGAGACAAATACGATTTTTTCAAATCCGACCCAGGCCATTTCAGTATGTGGTTTTAAATCGGATACATATCTCATGTTTTCAAAGTGACTGCAGTGTGAACGCTCATGTCACATTTATCTGACTTTTTCATCAGAAGGAGGAGGTGAAGGACCGATAAGACACTAACCTCAAGTCTCGCTGTTTAAATCTGTAGCTCCATGTGTTTACAGCTCCAAACCACAAGTCCAGTTGCTTCATCTTTTTACTTTTCATTGGTATGA